GGGGCGCATACGTGCAAAAAAGACGATTGCGCCCATTACGCCGCACATGTTACATATCGCCGCGAACGTCGCAGTGAGAGCAATAAGTCTAGGGCCATCAATCACTGATAGCACTAAACTGATGAGCGGTAAAAACGTTTAAAGCGTCGCCTATGGCTAATTTTGGTTGCGGTCGTTTTCTGCGATGTCGCGGGTGCGCACAATTTTAAAGCTTGACATGTTTGCTGTCTATTTAACCGATGTGACCTGATCTTTTATATTTGACCAAAAAACTGGGTAATAATAAATGTTTCCTAACATAATGTTAAAGAAAACGTGTTTTTTTTCAAAATTTTCAGTAATTTTTCCTAATTATAATAAAAAATAAAACCCCCAGTGGTGATTAAATACCACCAAAATAAAGCTCTATCTGTCCCCAAAAAATGGTGTAAAATTAATTTCAGTACAGCGTTGCATGACGGAATAAACGTCAGTCAAAGTATCACAGAGCTGAACACTGGAAAATGGCCTGGCCAGGAAGGGGGTCTAAACACCTGGTCTTGAAGTGGTTAAAGGAGAACTATGTGGTGAGTGGAAATCACTCTTCCTTATAGTTCGAGCCGACGTGAACACAATGAAACTGTCACACGTCGGCTCAATAGATCGGGAAGTGAGCGAACACATACCATCGCCCGCTCACTTCTTGATCATCTTCCTGCAGTGACTGTCAGTCACCGCTCCCCGAAGGGATTCCCACCTCCCCTCTCCGATCCTCCAGCGCTGACTGGCGGAACGGACGCCGGAGGGGGTGGGTACAGCTGGCTCTGCCTCCTAAATAGGCAGAGCCAGCTGTCACTCACACACCTGGGTGGATCTCGACGGTAATGTCGGGATCTGTCCCAGCGGGTTCCGTATACCGCGAGCTGTAGCTTGCGATATACGGAGCTTTGGGTCACGGGAGAATGCTAGTATATGTCCTCCCGTGACCCTTAAGAAAACTATGGGGAAAACACTTACCCTATAGTTCTCTTTTAAGTGCACTTGGTTTGTCCTCATGGGGGTAGGGGTGGGGGTGGGGGTTGCAGTATAAATAGACATTAAAGGGGTATACCAATTTTGGGCAAAGTATGCAATTTGTCCCATCCCTCCCCAAAAGAACTGTTTGGGGCTATCGCCTCTTAGAACCCTTTTTCAATCGGCTTCTGATCACTGCACTTCTAACTAATTGCCTAGTTACAACAACTTGGTGCTGCCTAGCTTTCTTTTGAGCAGTCCAATCTCGGAAACCCATTACAGGCTGCATGTTGTTTTACTGATAACAAACGCCTTGGAGCGTGACATAACCAATCATCAGATTCCAAGCCCCAGATTCTGCCCCAACAATCAGAAGCAGGAGGTTTGTACATTCCATTCTTTTTAAAAGTGTGCTGCAGACATATCTGTATAGGAACATGCACGTCTCTCCCTCCAAGAAACCACCAGCAACTTTACTATTTATGTTTGTCTGGTGGGTTAATCATTTCTATCCTACATCTATCTATCCTACATCTATAATACTGAAATCTGAACTATTCACAAAAAGATGAATGTGATATCGTAAGTACCGTAATATATATAGATATACCTATCTATCTATCTATCTATCTATCTATATCGGTACTTGATAATGAAAAAATTATATCGGTGCATCCCTACTACTGCCCCTTATTACTAAATTAAGTGCATGAAATGTTCTTGCCAGCGACAGGATCGCAAGTGTGACATGGGCCTAAGACTGCTATGATTAGCTTGAATCTTTTCTAAACCTGCTTTGTAATATCTGTAGGTTATACAGACCCAGGATCAAGTCACCGCTACAGAGCAAGTGATCACGTTGGACGAATCACAGCTGGCCGGCTCCCAAGTAATCGTGGCACTACCAGATTCCCAAACCAACCAGGCTACCGCTACAGAACTCGTAGCAGTCAGCATGGAGGATTTATTTGACGGAACAGTAACATTAATTTGTGGGGATCCTGTCCCCGGAGTAACGCAGAGAACTCAAAGCTAAGGAAACTTTCCACGACTTGGATATACTATAGTTGTAATTTACAAAAGGAATTTTTATACCGCATTTGTTAATTTTATTTTAGGTTTTTGTTTTCTTTTTAATACTGTGTCTGGCACCTCATTGCTTTTTATTTATTTTTTTCATTTCCTCCTCCATGACAGCTTGCAATCGCTCTTCATTTTGTTTGCTGTATGACATTTTTCAAGACTTAACTTAGTTTTAGTGACCACACTAATTGCCTTCACTCACTTTGTGTTATTGTATTGCAGAGGTCCCCAGCCTGTGTCTGTTTGTGAGTGCCACTTGGATATCACAAGTGGGGGTAATGTAAAGTGCAGCACCTTACCAACCAATCAGAATTTATCTTTCAAAGCCCTTCTTCTGTTTAGTTTTGCATTGTACATTTTCTTGGCCATCTCCTTCTACAAATCTTTTCAAGATCGATGGTATATCAATTCGAAAATTGTATTTTTTTTTTTTATTGAAGAGCACCTGAAAGGTTTAATAAAATACTATGCTGCAAAGGAGGTGCATGGCGAAGGCAGCTACGTGTTTTGTTTTCCTCCATATATGGAGGATTTAGAGCATTGTGGCCCCTTGTACACTTTAAAAAGAACAGTCAAGTATGGCCATTTGTAGAACTCTGACGTTGCACTCTTAAATTGTTATAGTAGTGCAGCCTTCATTCTAGGGAGGGCTATTTGTTTGGTTATTTTAACTGTATTCTCTCCCTCTCCAAGTTGGAAGATGCCTTATATCATTATGCCTCATTCACACAAGAATAGGCCGGCACATGCACGGCCGTATCGGGCAGCTCCTGGGAAGGACAGGTGCTGCGTGTGATTAGTACGCAGCCCCTGTCCTTCTCTATGGGGCTACGCAGCCATATGCCACCCCAAGTGCAGGTCCGTGCGGGTGTCCCGGCTCAGACGCAGGCAGTATCCAAAGCAGCAAACGGAATATAACAAAGCGCCAGCGGCTTCAGTACAAACAAGGAGAAAAACTGCAGTGATCTTAGTATAGACCGTAAACGAGGCATGCTCTCAAATAGGCTTTAGGGAAACCTCAACTCTGGAAAACAAAACGCAGAGAGCGCCTCCATCGCGTAAAAACATTTTAATAAACAATGGCGACATACACAAAGGGTGGGGATGGGCTTTGCCAATTGTGCATGTAAGGTGGACAAGGAGTGTGTAAAAAAACAAATGTGAGCCTATGGTTATATATTTAAATATTCAGTGCATCATTTATTCAGTAAACAGATCTCAATGTCCAGTTCTAGCCAAAAAGTTCAAATATATTATTTATTTTTTCTGTTTTGGATTAACTGGAGATAATTCTGTCAAGTTTTTTTTTTTTTTTTTAATCTCTTTCTATGCCCACGTTGTGGAGATCATACCTTACTTCCTATCCCTCTTAACAGCAGGGCAAGAATTGATGGGAGTAGTTATCAATAGAATAAGGAAACCTCAGACAGTAATAGGATTTTTGTACTGGCTGTAAGATCTTTTTTTGCAGTCCAGCGAGGGACACAAGCTTTCATAGAATTTTTAGACTGTCGGTTGTACTGTCACTTACAAGAATAATGGACACTGACAACAAAAAAAGAAAAAGCCATTGGCCCGCACAAGATATCTTTGCGCAGAACCATCACGCCCTTAATGGACGCTGGAGTTTTCGCTGGTGTCTGCAAGTGTTTTCTGCGACTCTACTCCTCTTCTCTGTTGGGAAGAATCTCTATCTGGCTTTCTGCGTACATCAAGGACATGTAGTTGCATCTCCATTCTGTGTATAAATGTTTGCTATAGGGGCCAACATAATACCAAGGGCCAGGTTTTCTGCCGTGCCTAGACAAAGAAAATAAGCTGACAGAGCTTTGAATCCTTCCCCATTATAATGAAAAACAAATTGTATTCCGTGTCCCCCCTGAAGAGATTTCCCCTCACTCCCTGTCCCGAGGACACAGACCACCAATACAGACCTGACAAAGGTTCTGACCTTTCCTCTATCCAAATAAAAAAAAAAAAATGATTGGCAGAGCTTTGGCTTTAAAATGGAGCTCTGGAGCCAGAAGCTTTCATAATTGTTCATCAACATTCACAAAAGGATATAAAACCATTTTGTGTGCCCCTAATGCCATTAGTAGCAGTGCCATTATCTCTGTGTTTATGTAGAGCTGTGGGAGGGACCCATCAGGCCCCACCCACTACAGGTCACCTGCAGAAAACTACAGGTGGGGGGCGGAGGAGGGGGCAGAGACCAGACCAGTCACCCTGCACAGGGATAGAGAGCAGTAGTGACCGGTCTTTATTAAAGGAGGGGCGGAGACCAGACCAGTCACCCTGCACAGGGATAGTGAGCGGTAGTGACCGGTCTTTATTACAGGAGGGGCGGAGACAAGACCAGTCACCCTGCACAGGGATAGTGAGCGGTAGTGACCGGTCTTTATTACAGGAGGGGCGGAGACAAGACCAGTCACCCTGCACAGGGATAGTGAGCGGTAGTGACCGGTCTTTATTACAGGAGGGGCGGAGACAAGACCAGTCACCCTGCACAGGGATAGTGAGCAGTAGTGACCGGTCTTGATTACATGAGGGGGCGGAGACAAGACCAGTCACCCTGCACAGGGATAGAGAGCAGCAGTGACCGGTCTTCATTACAGAAGGTTACTGCAAAACGGAAAATTTTCCTGCTGGATTAGTGCACAGATTTGGAATAAATACACAAAGCCGACCAAGATTCCAATAACAATATATACACCTTATTTTATTTAAACAAAATGTGTTTATCCAGGAGTTCAGCTTTACGGCTTAACACACTTTGCACGTCATTTTTGCCTCAGTGAACAAGCCTGTAATTTCAGATTGGCTTGATGTTGATGAGAATTGTTTAGTGTAGCAAGTTTTTAGACCAGATGAGAATTTCAGATCTAAGGACCTACCACGAGGCTGCCACCAATAAACACCATCAGATGACTCCTGGAGCGCTGGTTGGGGACTGCTAGCTGATAGGAAGTAGAACTGTGGAGCCCGGCTTCATTACCTCACATTACACAAAACTTCTTTCCACAGACTTGAGTTTAGAAGAGAGCAGAAGCTTTATAGGAAATGAAACGGAGTGACGTGACGGCGAGCATCCTTCTATGCAGATACAGGATTCTTTTACTGAAAATAAAATCTCATCCATGTTTACAGCTATTGGAAATGTTACTTTATATGTTAGAGGACCAATAAGTCTGGAACACAAGTTGGTGTATATATAAGAATTGTTAATATATTTACATATTTTTAATGTACATTTTTCAGAAACTAATTAAAACTATAGCTGAGATGTGAGAAGTTTATTGCACGGGCGTGTATATATATCTATCTATATCTATCTATCCTCATATCTATCCTCTCCATGGGCAGCAGTTTCATGGCAGAGCTCTGCACTCATCCCCAACACAGCCTGACATGGCTGCCTGAGGTCCTCCAGGATGCAATTCAAGTAGTAATAAACACGCAAACTTTTTTCAAAAATGAATCCAGATCAAAGAAATAGACATTGTCCAGAAAAATATTTCTTAATGGCTTGTTCACACCAAATGCAGACCAGATCTGCGTGCAGTGTGTTTTGATGTGTTCCGGGCCGTTTTTTTTTTTTTTAGCCTAAAATGGGCTTTCCGTACGTTCCAGGACGTTTGCATGCATTTTTGTGCGTTCCAGAGCAGAAAAAAATGGCATGCTGCAGTTTTTCCACATGCCCTGGAACGCTCTGGTGTAAACTAGAGGCCAAAATACCATTGGAATACATTGGACGCAGTTTTGATCCATTCTGTAACTGCTCTGCACTTGATGTGAACTAGCCCTTAGATTTGTGCCCATGTACTTACAGTCATCATGTTTCTGAACAGTTGGTTCCAACTCTCTCAGTTCAGCTTCCCTGAACTTCCTGTCCAGTACAAGATCACAAGGGCAGAGCCGTCTCCGGCAGCACTCAATAATGGGTTCTTTGTGCATTTTCACAAAGCTTTCATTTACTTTTCTCTCTAGAAGGTCAGCACCACCTTTGAACAGACATTATTCAGAGCCGCCAACTTACCGGACTGAGATGTCAGCTCGGTGCTGATGCAATCAAGTTAATTCATGGCTGTGTTAAGAAAAAAGTCTGACACAGAGCAGCCCCTGCTGCAGCCTTTCACCCTGTGACTTGCTACAGTTACAATGTTGCAGTCTGATTACAGCAGGGAGAAGAGACTGAGGAAGTGCTTCCTCCTGCGCGCAGCAGACAGTTGACATCTCAACCGAGGCAGTCACTGGTCTGGATTTGAATCAATGCCTTTTAATGATAAATTGTACAACTTTTCTGATACAATTGTACTGCTGCTGTAGTGTTGTTTCTTTAGAAACCTCCTTTTTAGTGTTTTTATTAACACTCCGGAGTCCGCCAAGTTCTGAATTCTCAATGCGGCTTGATCCAATGGGGTTAATTTATAACATCTCTGCCTAGCCTTTTGCTGGGTGAATGCCATTAGTGTGGTATTCCCGCCACCAGATGGAGCCGAGGAGCAAATGCTTTTTTTTTTTTTTTATACACACCTGTCCTTTGGAACTCATGGACAATAGACGGCTGGTGGATTAGTAACGTGTTTAATCATTTGCTACCGCTCTGGAACGCACCGCAATTGGTGTGAACAAGCCCTAAAAAATATTGTCTGATTGAACAAAAAAAAGTGTTATCTAAAGCATATAATATATTGGGAATAAGAATACCATCAAGTCTGTTGAACACAATATCTGGTTCTATAAAGTTAAAGCTGAAGTCCAGACAAAAAGCTAAATACTCAGAGGAAATACATATATGGGGATATTATTAACCTACCAAAGGATTCGTATTTCGGTCCATTCAGGCCAGCAATATATATAGCACAACCCTGCCTGGCGGGACAAGAGACCTGATCTTGCTGTGCTGTGGTTAAAGCGGAATGGAACTGCCAAAGCGTAAGACAAAATTGACTCCCAGGTGTCTGTGAAGTTTCTCATTCATCCAGATCATGGTGTATGTGTAAAAAAAGGCAACTGGACTTGCTGTATTTTCCTTGAAGACTTATCACTGGTCATGCGACTAGCTTTTTTAATTCAGAATGACTTGTACAAAAATTATCTGGGGATAAATATGGTAAATGTTGCCTCCCTTACTCTTTTATTATTGCCAAACAGTCCAAGAACACCAGCTTGAATAGAGGTGGGGGTGAGGGTGAGGCATCTACTGTCTGCCACATACAATGCTGTTTTAACACCTCTCTCTGGATGGCTTAATAACACCTGCTAGCTCCAATTATGTAAATGCCATCAACACCTTATCTCCATGAGGTCTCTGATCCCATGCTAGTTATGATAAACTGATTATGTTGATTGGAGCCACATTCACCATATTTATTCCCAAATCATTTTTGTATAAGTCGTTCTGAATTGAGAAAGCTGGTCGTATGACAAGTGAAATATCTTTAAAAAAAAAAGTCCAGTTGCCTTCATTCATTTTTTACAGACTCCCAGGTGAGTTTTGCCATATTATGTAAGTTGACCCCCCGTCTACAGTGCTGCAATGTCTTCACTCCCTTTTCTTGTTAGTGCTTTCATCTTCACCCAGTCTAAAGGTCCCCACACACCTTACGATAATTGCGGGAAATCCCGCGATTGTCGTAAGGTGTGTGGAAGCCGTGCGACCTCTACTACTGTAAGGTCGCACGACTTTAAACTTACGAACATGTTTCAAAACCCGCCGAGCATCGTACGATGTTCGGCGGGTCTGTAGCATGTTCGTAAGATAAAAGCGGGACGGGCCCATTCGGCATTGCGGTCATCGGAAGTCCGCCCCTCAGGGGGCGTGGCTTGCGATCATCGCAAGTACGATCTGCCTATGCAAGATAGGCCGATCGTACGTTTTTTTAAGTACCTTACAACCATCGCAAGACAAAAGTCTTGCGATGGTTGTAAGGTGTGTGCCCAGCCTTAGGCCATTGGAATTGGTCAAGTTCAGGTAACATAACATGTGCATATGCTGTAAGTTACTTAATTGCAGCGCAGGGTCTTGCTGTGACTGTTCTCTAAGCTGCAATAGCACGGTTCAGTGTACACTTAGGGACAATCTGGTAGAAGCTTCCATAGCAGAAGATACATGCGCAGTCTCTTCTGTCATAAAAAATAGCCTACCGGTCAGCCATTTTTGCTATAAAGACTTTAATTTCACTCGAAGTAACACTTACAGGTCTTGCTCCTCCCCCACCTTGTGACTGGACAGGGATGGACAAGCAAGAGACTGATATCTCTTTGTCACTTGGCTCCTTGTGCTACTTCCTCCTCTCCCTGTCTAAGCTCTAAAAGGCAGTATGCAGATGTGTCCCCCCTGCACTCCTTGTAGCGTTTAGGACCAATAGCAATAGTGGTGCTTGCAGTGATAATCACGGTTGGCTCCGTGTACATCAATCCGTAGAAAATGAGGATCACCAGCACTCAGAAGATGACGTTCAAATCTTGAGGTTCATTTATTCAAATACATTGTCACTATGTTGCCCTGTTGAAGGGATCCCTGTGTGGCCCCGAAACGTTGGCTATCTTATATAGGTGACAATTTATTTAAATAAATAAACATCAAGATTTGAACGTTATCTTCTGAATGCTGGTGATCCTCATTTTCTAAGCTCTAAAGGGGACTTCAAGAGGCTAATACCGAAAGAAATTCAGCTGCCTACGCCATTAATGTAATGTAAAGGCATTACTCTATGGGGGGAATTTATCAAAACTGGTGCAGAAGAATGTGGAGCAGTTGCCTATGGCAACTGTACAGGACGCCAGGAATGGATCCTGGATGGACGGTATATCCCTCCCTTGTTTAGGTGGTGGTCCCGTTAAGGTCACCCTGTATTCAGGGTTCTCGCCAAGCAGTGTGAGGGGTTCCCGGGTCGGACATGTAAGGGAAACTTCTAACTTCTGGGCAGTCTTCCCAGAGTTGTTATTTATACATGGGTCCCGGAATCCAGAGGCTCAGAGAGATTTTTGGGTGGGACAGAGCCTCCATCCCTGACTACAGCCAGTTCTGGTAATGAAAGGGTTAACCCACCAGCCAGAGGGTGGGTTAAAAAGGAACAGGAAGCCGGTCAGTCTGTATCTGTGAGGAGTGTTTGGAGCAGGACACATGGCTATGTGTGTTAAGCTGTGGGATATCGTCTACCGAGACACTGCTGGGGCACCTGTGTCCATACTGGAACCCTCTGTGAGCAGTCTGGGACTCTAACCCTGAGGTGGGACTTGGTATACAGGTGCTGAGCAGAATCTTGTATTTTCTGACAATAAGGCCTGTTGATTGTGTCATTCTGCTGAATATAAGCTATTTTTTTGGGATCGTGAAGAAGAATAAAAATGTATTTGCTGATACGGCTGGCTACGGGTCATATCCGCCCTGAATATTACACAACCAATCAGCTTCTCTCTTTCGTTTGTCCAGTTAAGGTTTGAAAATGAAAGAGAGAAGCTGATTGGTTGCCATGCACAGCTGCTCCAGATGTTGTCTGCTCCGGTTTTGTTAAATTCTCCCCTGTCTATGAATGAATACTTGATTCAGTTACATAAATACATGAGAACGTATGACTTTCTTGAATGCGTTCTTTACATCTTTATTCCGCCAGCTGTAAATAAATGGATTGAGCATTGGGGTGCAGACCGTGTATAGAACCGCTGCAAGTTTATCATAGACAAGTGAATATGCAGATGATGGTCGAAAATACACACAAATCATTGTTCCGTAAAACAACATGACTACGGTCAAGTGGGCTGAGCACGTGGAAAATGCGTTCTTCTTCCCCGTGGAAGACGGTATCTTCAATATGGTCCAAATGATATGAATATAAGAAATCAAAGTAACCAAGAAAGGCACGGCAACAATCACGAATCCTTCAGTGAAGATGACCAACTGATTGGTTGATGTATCAGAGCAAGAAAGCTTGAAGAGTGGCAGTAGGTCACAGAAGAAATGCTGAACAAGTCGAGATCCACAAAAAGACAACCTAGAAATCAAAAGAGTATGGAGGATAGAATTGACAAAATTGATTATCCAGGAAGCCAGGACTAGCTGGAGACACAGCTTCCTGTTCATTATTGTTATGTAATATAATGGTTTGCAGACGGCCACGTATCTGTCGTAGGCCATACAGGTAAGAATGAAGCATTCCACTCCAGCAAAGGCGATGAAAAAATAAACCTGGGCAATGCAATCTGGGAAAGAGATGGTTTTATTCTTGAACAGTAAGTTTAGGAGGAGCCGAGGGACCACGACTGTTGTCAAACACAGGTCTACAAGGGAAAGGTTGCTGAGGAAAAAGTACATTGGAGATTGTAGCTGAGGAGATACAATGGTCACGTAAATCAGAAGAAAGTTGCCCAAAACAGAGAGCATGTAGATAGTCAAAAATGGCGGGAACAGAACGGCGGGTTGTCGGACATAATCAGAGAAGCCTACTAAAATGAAATCTGTTGCTGGCAGTTCAGTAGATAAGTTAGCCATTTTATGTTCTTAATAAAGATACTTGTATTACTGTGTCATCTCACATTCATCCATTGGTCAAGGCTTCTACAGATGACCTCATCCTTCCCATCCTGACCTGGTCCTCATCCCGTTCCCAAGATGTTGGAGAGCTCTGAAGAACACAAGATTATGAGTACTGTGGAAATACAGTATATGGTTGCAAATAAACTCAACTGTAAGGTGAAAGGGATCAAATGTAATCCAGCTGATATGAAACAGGAAATCCCAAGTAAGTGTTTTTAGATATGGTTATAGGCAAGATTCAGACCAATGAGACTGGTGCTCATTCCGCCAATGCTAAGAATCATGGGGCTGCCCTCAACCAGGGAGTCACTGGAATCTGCAACAAAACAGAGCAGGCGCCACCTCCTAGTGCAGTATGTTTATTGACCAAATGATGAAATAAAACAGTAAAAAAGTTCTACTCACTATTCCTAAAGCAAACCAGACATATCAATAACAGAGACCGATCGCCAAGAACACTGTATAGTGATAGGTGCACCTCTACAGGGGGGGATTGTTCAAATGCGCTTGGGGTAACCAACCCCTTCATCAGTGCACCGTGTGACATATAGAGGTGAAGGTCTTGCTCTGAGGAAGGGGTTGGCTACCCTGACACGTGATAGCACAGCCCCCCGTTGCGGTGCACCTACCACTATACAGCGTTCTTGGGCCTTTGGACTCTGTTATTGATATGCCTGGTTTCCTTTAGGAATGGTGAGTTGAACCTTTTTTGCACTTTTATTTCATTATCTGGTCAATAAACATACTGCATTAGGAGGTGGCGTCTGCTCTGTGTTTTGTTGCCTTGCATGGTTATGTTTATGATTATGGCTAGATATGGTATCATTGGCTCATTTATCAAAGGGAGTGCAGTGTATTTGACTACAGCTAGTGAGTTGTGTGCTTCCATTTCCAGGCCACAACTAAGAAAAAATAGCACCTGCTCCTTTTCCTTACCCATGCCGACATATGCTGCACCCTATATTGCTTTGTTGCTAAGCACCAGGACCATCTCCAGTATTCAAAAGGCTTGATGCAAATTGTTTTATGTATGAAAGATTTGTGGAATATGACAGGCCTGTGTAGATGAAGAAAATAAGGACATTGGCTGAAAGTTTAAAGGAGAACTATGAGGTAAGTGGTTTTCCCCATAGTTCTCCTCAGGGTCATGGGAGGACATAAACTAGCGTCCTCCCGTGACCCAAAGCTCAGTACACCGTGAGCTACAGCTCACCCAGCTGCATGATTGACAGCTGGCTCTGACTATCTAGAGGCAGAGCCAGCTGTACCCGCCCCCTCCCCCATCCGTTCCTCCAGTCAGTGCTGGGCGAGGGGGGAATCCCTGCAGGGAGCCATGAGTGACAGTCACGGCTCTCTGCAGGGACAGGATTGAGAAGTGAGCGAGCGCGGTATGTGTTCGCTCACTTCCCGATCTACTGAGCCGACGTGTGACAGTTTCATTGTCACATGTCGGCTCGAACTATGAGGTTGAGTGAAAATCACTCACCTCATAGTTCTCCTCTAACATCATTCATTCATCTAGGCGAGTAAGGGTCCAAGGCATGCTCAAACAGCCTCTCAAGCAACAATGTAACATCTAATAGTATCACATGGCAGGCCATTTTAGCATGCCTTATATGACTTATCCTGTAATTGATTCTACCTCTGTAGTCGCTCAGGTAATATGCTTTTTGCAATTGCATACTGATGACCATTAGAAAGAGAATCTGTGATTTTGCATATTGAATGTTCTAAAGAAAGTATAGACCAGCAAGCATGTAAAATGTGAAAGTCACACAAAATGTAGCGCTGGCACAATATTACATAAATGTGTTCCCTCCCACAAAACACTATACTTTGCCATGAACCAATGTATGTTGCAAATAGTAAGGAAACAGAGAACGCTTTTTTTTTAATTACATGTGTGAAATAAACCTGATTCTGTATATCTGGCAGATAGTTTGCACATCCTCATACACCCCACCATTACAATGCATACAATTTCATTAACTAAAGGTTACAGCACCAAGCATGTACTGTGATCAAATGTATGCTTTACCAGTCAGTTATTATACCCCATGCCAGCGACAAGGCATGCCTTCTTCTGGAAGCTCAGGATTGCATTAAAATGATTACTCCTTCCTTAAATAGCTGCAAGGGAAACTAGAATCAATTCCCGAGAGCCTCATTAAAGAATTTCTGTAGGTTGTATGTATTTACAATGCTTCCAAGGTTTTGTTTATTTAGAAGTAAAAAGCATATTAGCGTTTATTTCAAGGTAAACTGTAATGGTTTAGGGACACTTTTATTATTACCATAAACAATATTATGGTCACGAAAGACCATAACCAATAAAGAAAGGAGTCACTGTAATGACCAAACTCAAAATGAATGAAAAAATAGAAAATGTATTGCATAGAAAAACAATTTAAACCTTCACCGCATCAAAAACCCCATTTAAAACTTGACAACGTTGTCAGTTTTTTTATGGGGTTTTTGATGCGGTGAAGGTTTAAATTGTTTTTCTATGCAATAAATTTTGTTTTTGGTGTAATAATAATATTGTAGTAGCAATAATATTGTTTTTGGTGTAGCTTTTTTCGGGGTCCTTAATCGAACTATTCTAACAATTTAATTGTTTAAATAATTTAATTCCTAGTCTAACAATTTAAAAGAATAGGTCTCCTGGATACAAACTATTTTTTCTACACTTTTATTATTAACCTTTTTGAAAAAAAAAAAAATGCTGATGCTTTAAATACTGAAAGGACAGGGGGCCCTGTCTGAACAGAGCAGGGATTGCAGTGGGGAAGTCATTCTGTTCTGTATGTATATTTCAGCTGGAGCAATTCATTGCAAACAATACACTTTTTTTTTCCGCAGAGTGGATAAGCTTAAACAGAAGAACGTCTAAAAGGAGCCGAGATCTCCACCTACAAAATATTCATATGTGGCATTTCATACTTATACAATATTTGTTAAACTTTTTTTAGCCTTAAGTGACACTAAACTCAGGTGTTAAATCTTAAAAATACATTCAGGCAGCTCAACTAAAAAAACATGTATTTTATTTGTGTATCATTTAGCTGTAGACCAGGGGTCTTAAAATCAATTCATTCGGGGGCCTCTCGACAATTTTGTTTTACGCCCACCGGGGGCCGCTTACCAAACTTCATACTTCAAAATATTATTTAACTATATCCGGTATGGTACTATGGACACTAATATACTCACAATAAGGCCCCATTCAAATCTCCTCCCTGCAAAAAGGTAAGCAGGAGAGGGGGGCTCTTTATTTTATATGTGGGTGTGGGGTGTATTACTTTATATGTGCGGTGGGGGTGTATTATTTTATGTGTATGGGGGAAGTGTATTATTTTATATGTTTATTAGGGAGAAAGTGTATTAGGCTCGATTCAGATCTATAAGTTTAGGTGCAATTGTGGATTCCTGCGTCCGAAACTTATGTTTTCCTGCAGCAGGAATCCCTAATGTGGCGTTTACAAGTGGCTGATGTCAACCATTCACGTTAATGATCAGGTGACAGCCGCTGCATGTAAACGTCTGCACACCCCATGTAATGGTATGTGATATGATTACATGTGGTTAGAAAACACTCTCCCTGGGTGCGCAATCAATGCACCCAGGGATAGTGATTGATTCCTAACCACATGTAATCATATCACATATCATTACATGCGGTGTGCAGACGTTTACAGGCAGCGGCTGTCACCTGATCATTAACTTGAATGGGCCCCCCTCTCCTGCTTACCTTTTTGCAGGGAGTAGACGAGGAGACACGGTCCCTGGTGATCCAGTGGTTGATTAGTAAGGTCGGGTGGAGACCTTACTAATCCATGCTTTCGGCCAGTGTTCAGTGAAGGATTTCAGAGCACTGGCCAAGAGTACCAGCAAAGAGAAGCAGCTATGCAGTCTGCATCTGACAGAGATACAGACTATGTAACTGCTCTCGCAAGTCAGCTGGGTGCGGGCCACATAGTAGCGGCTAGCGAGCTACAATTGGCCCGCGGGCCGGTACTTTGGGACCCCTGCTGAAGATTCTGAAATTATCTCTGAACTGGTGCTGACACTGCTCCAAGCTAGCTCCCGTGATGGACTATAATTTCATATTTAGTTTACTAATTTGTATTCAGATTGTAGTCCATCACAGGAGTGAGCTTTGTGCGGTGACTACTTTACAACACACACAGGGACCATGGGTAACAAAAGTAGCCCCCCTCCAGAAGGAAGGACAGTGTCAGCACCAATTCAGAGATGATTTGAGGAGCCGAGTGATACACAAATAAGATACATTTTTGTTAATAGTTAAGGTATTTGAATGTATTTTTAAGATTTAACTCCTGAGTTTAGTGTCACAATAACAGAAGAGAAGAAAGGAAATAGATACAAAACTACTACTGTATATATTACTTTTAATAAGAAAAAAAAGTCACCCTCTCTAGTGACTAACCTTTTTCCATAGTTTTGAGTGGAACTCTTCAAACGTCATAAGGTCTCTTCAGCCTATGGTCTCTGTATGTATACTGAGTTGAAGAGATATAGCTGAGAACTTGGACATCATATGTGAGTAGAATGGATTTCTTGCTCTTATAAGTATTTAAAAAACAAAACGGTATAACACGAGGAGAAGGCTCTGTCCTTTGTGTTTATTTTACATGTATTTGAGAATACATCCATCTGCGGACTGCAGCCTTCCCTGGTGAAATGATTTGTGGTAGAAGCTTCAGCATAAACTATCTGGTGGTCGACACAAGCATTGGGGTTATGATTTTTGTTCTTGTACTTTTGTTAAAGGACAAATATAGACTGGGTCACAATTCTTCAGTAGAGAGAATGGCGGTAAAAGCGTCAATATAGAAAGACACTTACCTTATCCAGTGCGGCAAGAAATAAAAAAACAGTATATAAACCTTTGTCATGTTGGTGACCTGCATGTAGGCATACCAGGCAAAAACAAATGTTGAATGGATTAAGAAGAGTTGTAGCAATGCAATTTCTTTTTTTCAGAAAGAGCAGGAGACAAACGACATGTCACCAATCCTGCACCCTGGAAAAACAAGTACCTTCCATTGAGGCCCCATCTCGCAACTTACTGGATTTAAAGGATCTGTTACTTACAGCATACCTTCAGGGATCTAGTGGAGTCCATGCCTCAATTGGTCAGGTTTGTTTGGCGGCAAAAGAGGGACCTACTCAACACATTAGGCGGGTGGTCATAATGATATGGCTGATGCTTGTATCTATATATACTTTATACAGTATATGTGGCATGGCTTTTCATCTGACTATGCATTGTATTTGCCCAAATAATAGTAGAATTATTTTGTAATATTATTACATTCCTATGATGATTATGGAATGTGAAATCCCAGCATACTGACCAATAAATATATTTTTTTTACTCCAAATAGGCAGTACAGTATATCTGCCAACACTTTTTTCCTCATATTGGATAAAGTAGGTAATATTTTTTTCCCCACCAATGTCCCATTGGGAGATTTTCTTTTATTTCCTTCCGTGGAGACACAGCAAGAAATGAGAGAAAATCTCTTCAAACTGAGGGAAATGCCCTCTTAGACAGTGGTCACCACAACAAGTGTCCCCTTTAAAATTTTCCCCTCCATTCCTTTAACCTCTATCTAAAAAGAAAAAAAAAAGGTTTTGGCTTTAGATATTAAAAAAGCCCATCATATTAGACAGTTAAACAGAATGTTTTAATATCTCACAAATAGTTTTAATGGCGGCATTTCAAATATTTTGAAATCAAAGTGTGAAAAAGCTGAGATTGTACATATCTATGCAAACATTTTTTAATTTCATGATTTCTCAGGCCATATATGAAAGGGTTAGCTAGAGGCGTAAAAACAGCATAGGTAAGACCAACAGCCCTATCATAGTCTACAGAGTCACTTTTTGCAATACGTAAGTACATAAAGCCGATGCTCCCAAAGAAGAGCGTGACAACGATCAGATGGGCCCCGCAAGTTGAAAATGTCTTCTGGCGCCCAACTTTAGACTTGATCTTCACTATAACAAGTATTATTCTGATGTAAGATAGTAGAACAAAGGCAAAGCTTAAAAGGATGATAAAAGCGCTGACCACAAACTCAACCAGTATGTACAACTTTGTTTCAGTACATGCTAATGAGATCAATGGAGGGAAGTCACAGAACACATTTTCTACATGATTCGGACCACAATAAGGTAGAAGAGATATTAAGATAACTTCAATAATGGGGCTGATAAATCCACCAATAAAACAAGCAATAACTAAGCTTAGATAAAGCCTAGTGGTCATAGTGGATGAGTATTGTAACGGTGTACAGATGGCCAAATACCGATCATAGGCCATTATGATAAGTATATAACATTCTGCAGCTCCAAGGGCATGCAGGCAGTAGGCTTGTAGCAGACACCCAGTGAAGGAGATTTTTTTCTGTTTATCTAGTAGGTCAGCCAGCATTTTTGGAATTGTGACTGCCGTATAACAAATCTCCAGACACAATAAAGCCGCAATGAAGTAATACATGGGGGATTGTAGGCTGGACATTTTCTGGATGACTAAAATAATTAGAACATTGCCAGTGATGATAAACAGATAGATGATCAGAAGAACCAAGAAGAGTAAAATGTGAAAATGTTCAAGACTTGGGAACCCAGATAAAATAATTTCAGTAACTTTGCTATGGTTGGAAAGTTTCTCCATGGCTGTTATACCTGTAATGCAGAAAGAGGTAAAGGAGGGCAGCAATAGAAGTAAAAATATGAAAAGAGTAAGGAGATAGAAGTGTAAAAGATAAAAGAAAGATAACGCAAATGGAAGGGAAAGGAAAAGCTGCACAGGTATGCTGTAAGGTATGCATGTATATGAAAAAGAGGAAATTGCAGGGTAGAGAATGTAGACCAGAAGAGGGGACAGAGAGATGGACAAAAGAAAGGGAAGGGAAAGAAAAGAGAGAAGAAGGGATAAAGCAAGGGAAACAGAAGTAGTGGAGGACTGGGCTGGCGGGGAAGGGGGGGGTGGTCAGGCAAGGGGGCTTCTTCCCCTTCAGGCCAATACTAATAATATATGCCAGACCTTAATCAGAGCAGGAACTGCTGGGCATTATATAGTTTTCTAATCCCTGTTCTAACCTGTGATCCCAGCATCTGGCAGAGGGAAGACTTCCAGCATCGACATCCTTTGTGGCTCAGAGATGTGATGTGACCAAAAGCAGGCATGCCGTAAAAGAAGACAATGCTGGAAGAATGCAAAACTGTGAAATGGGTTGTGCTTATTTGTTAACATGCTTCATGCTAGGTCCTAATGATGTGGAGAACTATAGATTACCATCTACCCATTGAGGGATGTTGGATGACATGTAGAGGAAAAGGAACACCCAAAAAAGATCAATCAGCTGAGGTGGTTAGGTGTAAATGATTGTCTCTTATAACAGAAGGACACCCAATGTGTTTCGGGGTAACAGAATTTCTCCAGGGGTTAAAGATACAGGAGAGTGGTCTAAAACAGGCGATGCACACTGGGTTGATGCCTCCCCATCTTACTATATTGAGACTTTAATACCAAGACCAAAGCTATGCACTGAAACGTTTGCTTCAACAGTTGTAATATACACTGTCAAGTCAATCACTCTCCTGTACCTCCAAGCCCTGAAGAAGGGGAATTCTGTTACCCCTGAAATGCTCTTGACAATCAGCTTGTAATACAACACAATTATTTGCACCTAACCCCCTCATGGATTCATCCTTGTTGGTGCTTTTTTACTTTAACGATTCAGTTCTGTTGACTCTTCCGAAGTATCGAAAAAATTCAGAATTTCCATTTATGGAACCCATTGTATCTGTTTTTAGGCTCTTTGCAGATGGATAAAGTCATCAATATACAACACCTTCCATCTGACTCAACTGAGTAATATTTCATTGATACCCTTTAGGTAATAATTAGCAGATTACATAGTTCATCAAAGAACAGCTTTCTGATTACTCTGAAATTTCGGTGGAAGAGTGGAGAATTTAGGGGTGGATTTATTATAGGCAACTAAGCGGTTCACTTTGCTAGAGAATTAGCACTTTTCAGGGGGATTTTCCGCTATGTTTAGTGAATGAGGTAAAGCTCTGCGGACTTCCATCAATCAATTATGTGCACGCAAAAATACTGTTTTCTGGGGGGTTTTTTTGTTCATTTTCCTTGCACAAGATTGGGTATTCTTAGCAAAGTGAAATTTTACTACATTCACCAAGCTGAGGGGAAACATCCCCTGCAAGGTGCACGTTCCCATACAAAGTGAACAGTCTATGTATCTTTAGTAAGTCAACCACCTTGATATTTTTCTATGATGGTTCTAAGATTTGGGATTCTCCTCCAGACCACATTATACACATTGTACACATTTGCTTTTGAAAAGGCTTTATACAGTGAGAAAAACTATTATAAATATTGTTAATATTACTAATAGCAGTATACCTGTAGAAATTATTTTTAGCCTGTATATTGGATCAAGGAACACATCACAACCAGAGCTTCAGACAGAACAGACTGCAAACATGATAATATATTGGTCACTCACAGTCCGTACCTTCTTTCTTTTACCTGCTGGTGCTAAACAGGCTTCCCAAATGTGTGCAGCAGATAATGAGGATTTCAAGTGTACAGTAACTATACTTTAAGACCTTTTCTAGGAATACTATACTCCAAAAAGACCTCAACTCCGATGGCCATGATGTTTTAAATGCCATGGACTATGACAAGCTTGGTGGTGTTATACCTCTTCTTAGAACCAATGGGAAAACAAGTTACCAGGCGCGGGAAGCTTTTCCTCCACAGAGTAATATATAGAGCCCACTTGGAAGAACTGATCACAAACTGCTAGAAGACAACCTCTGTATTGGTTTTAGCTCAAATCTATCCTCACCCTCATCCCTTGTGAAGCCAGGGAACCAGTCTCCTCTGTACTGGTTTGAGGCAAACCACTTTCTACTGTACAGCGAAGACTGCAGACAGGCTACATGTAAAAAAAGTGATGTTTACACTAGTCTAGGTCATTTTCTGAACTAATTCAAGGGATGAACTAAATGGGAGCTCTTGAATTTGAGTCCTTCTTTAAACATATTTTTTGTGAATAATTTGTAGCTTTTATTATTTCTGTACATTAATCCTAGAAATATGAGAAAATATCATTTTAACTCATCTCCCATTAATTATTCATCTCAGTGTGTGTGAAATGTTTGTCAACAGTGCTTAAATAGCTTTAAGTGCTTTGGGAATATATTCTCAGATGGATATGTACACAGTAATTGCCATTGTGTGTGGTGCTATAAATAGACTGTTATGGGCCTAGCAGAGGTTTTGCTTTGTGATTAAAAATATATCATTAAATAAAAACTGACTTATTCAGTAAGCAATCATAATTCTTAAAGTGGAAGACAAGGATTTTGTATTTCATCCCATCAGTCCCAAGCTCTTAATCAAAGTGCCTTAACTTTAACAATGCAGTCCATATTACTAGGTATCAGGCAATTTATCTCAGACCTCATCTTGGTGGTACCACAGTAAAATAGCAGAGATTCTGTCACTCCGGGTGCCTCTATAGCGGTAGAACCCTCTGCTGTCATCAGCATTTTTCTGCCAACTAGACATGTGCGATTCGTTTCTTTCGGAATCAAAATTCGTATGAATTTTCCGAAATTCAGACACATCCGAATTTCTGAATCCCAATGCATCCAAATGTTTTAGAATCCAAATTTCCATTTCCGAACTACGGATCCTGTCTGCATTTCATGCAAAAACTAAATTGAATTGGACATGTGACTTTTCTGGCCAATCAGATTTCTTTTCAGTTTAATGCATCCGAATGGGTCTAAATCAGAATTTTTGGATTGAACTCCTGAGCTCCTAAATGCTATTCGGGTCTGGCAGCCGCAGGTTTAGTTTTATGTATATATGGGTCACAATGTTGCCGCTACGAATATTCGTTCGTATTATAGAATACTACTTATATATACATAATACTAAAACTGATGCTCCAAGACCCGAATGGAGTCCGCATTTCCGAATAGCATTCAAGAGTTCCCGAATGCAATTCGGGTCTGGAAGCCTCAGCTTTAATATGTCTCCCAGACCCGTATTGTTTTCTGGAGCTCCCGAATGGTATTCGGAAATTGGGGTCCTGAATGTCTTTCAGGTCTAGGAGCTTGGGCCTAAGTATTAATATCTGTATATGGTTTTCTGTGGTATTCGCAACGAATATTCATAAACTCATCCGTAACTAACGAAAATTTTAATTTTGTCCGGATCCAAAACCCCAAACCGAATTGGATTTTGCATCCGAATCCCGAAATAACAAAATATCTCAATCAAACCGAATTTTTCAGCAGCTAACATGTCTACTGCCAACCTCCCCACCCATAGAGGCTGATTGACAGCTTAAAGTGTATTTCCACTGCAGCCATTTTGTGATAACATCTATTTTATATTTGTTACATGTTCCCATTCACATAGCATAATAAAAAAAAATGCTCCTTACAGTTTAAATTGCATTTACAGTAATACCTTGGTTTACGAGCATAATTCGTTCCGGAAGCATGCTTGTAATCCAAAGCGCTTGTATATCAAAGCGAATTTCCCCATAGGAAAAAATGGAAATTCAGATGATTCGTTCCACAACCCAAAAATATTCATATACAAATGATTACAATACTGTACTGTAATATAATACTGTACAAAATATAAAGACAAATAAACCAATTACCCATACCTTTGTGGTTGGTGTGAGGGGGACGAGAGAGAGAAGGATTATTGTGTAGGACGACTTTCACTATCACTAACGGAATCACTGCTATCTCTTGGCTCAATGGAATCTTTTTCATTTCGTGAAACCTTAACAAGGAATCTATCCAATGTGACATTGTGTTGTCGTTAAACAGACTCATCGCTCGCACTGCTACAGCCTTATTCGGGTGGCGCTTTTCTACAAAATTTTGCTCTTATTGCAAGACATTTGCTTGTATATCAAGGCAACATTTTTCAGAAATGTTTGCTTGTCTTGCAAAACGCTCTCAAACCAAGTTACTTGTAAACCAAGGTATTACTGTACTTGGATTAGAGTTTTAACAGTTAAAATGTCTGCTTGCTTCTATGAAATGTTAGGAGAAGCTGTGAGTGGTGAGGGCTCTGAGGTGGCTTGCGGATTGTATGCCATTAAAGCTTATCAGATGAACACAATCCTCAAATTTTAGTCCCAAGCCTTTCCATTAGGACAGGCCACTGTGATAGGGCTCAGAAAAAAACAGGAATCAGCCATCTTGCCTGATTTAACAAATCATCTATATTTTAAGAATTTTTTATTAGTAAGTTATAAGTTATAAATTATTTTTCAGTATGCAGAGCGAATAGAAACACATAATGAACATATTGAGGGGTTTTCTCAAATTTGACTTACATATAGACGATCGGCGGGCTATGGAGCCGCTAATCGCCTATATGTGAAGCACCTGGTAACTGGTGTGTGCAATGGTCGGGTCTTTACTGCCCGTGCGTGCCCGCTGGGGGGCGTGCGCGAGCAGAATAAAATTGCCGTCTGGAGACGGCAACCCGCAAATGCTGCAGTGCCATCCGTCCGTTTTTTTACTACGGGTGGACGGCAAGAGGTTAAACATATCTAAACCCAAAACCAAAAGTTTACTATATATCAGATTACCAATTCTTACATACATGTGGTGTCTGCGTTAGTTTTTTAGGCGTATTTTCAGCTGGTGATCCAGCCAGTAACACAGGGAGGCTCCACTCTATGGAGGAGCAATGGGGCCACCCTTGAACAACAACATTGTCAGCCTGTGGAGAGGGTGTTGCTAGATGGACTAGAACATTTAGATGGACTTGTCTAACAAATTAAAGCTGAACTACAGCTAACACTTTTTTAAGCAGTTTCGGCAACAGTTTTATTTTTTCTCTATTTGTGATAAAGGTTTTACATGAATAAATAAAAGCTGACTTTTGTAAGCACCTCTGTTGGTGTTCAATGGTTTGTCTCAACCCTCTATCTACCTAAAATCACCAGCACTTACAGGGTTCAGAGCGCGAATTCTTGCTCCTTTTTATTGAACTTACGTTACATGGATCATTGAAGCCAACGTTTTGGGGCCATGCAGATTTACTTTCTATAGGGTGACATAGTGAGTCGCTTTATGTTGCTCTGAAGAAGGGACCCTGCGCAGTCCTGAAATGTTGGCTTCAATGACACATGTAACATATCTTCAATAAAAAGGAACAAGAGTTCACGCTTTGAATGAGTGTCGGTGATTTTCCGATCCATAGTTTGAAGTTGCACGGCGCCATCCGTGTCATCACTGGAATCACCGCAATTGATAATTTCATGGTTATAGCTCCGTATGGAGTGCAGGTGATCTACAACAACACATCTGTTTAGGTGACAATGCTCTAAGAGTGGAATTCCCCTCATTTTATAGAGATTTCCTCTGGCTTTCTTAGGCATAACCAGGACAGGAAATCTCCCTGATGGGACACAGACAGCAAAATAAACTGATAGAGGTGTTAACACTTCTCCTAATTTATCCACACCTAAAATACAAGATTTTGACTATACATTGACTTGAATACATAAGAAATATACATTTTTTAATATTTTCTACACAGGTTGAATGTATTTTAATGCTAGAGTCACACATTTTGTCTTTGACACATTCTGTTTTTAAAGGCAAGTCTGATCTCTTGGTTTCGAAAACTGTATATTATAGGGTTCAATATAGGAGTGACCACTGAATACAGAATCGACACTGCACGGTCAAAGTACAAAGAGTAGCTCTTGGTTAGTCGAATGTACATAAACAAAATACAGGTAAAGAACAACAATACTACAGTCAGATGAGAGGCGCAGGTGGAGAAAGCCTTCATTCGTCCAACAGATGTCTTTATTTTCATAATGTCGATGATAATCCTAAAATAGGAGGTCATGACCAAGAAAAAGTTGACAATTATGGTGAAACAATTTGTTACAAATTCAGCAAGGATGTTGATGGAGGTGTCACTGCAAGCCAAGCTGATCAATGGCGGGATGTCACAAAAGATATGTTCCATTTCACTATTACAAAAAGAAAGTCTAGAAATCAGAATAACCTCAGTGAGGGGGCACAGAAAGCCAAGAGAGAAACAGGAACCTATTAACTTAATGGTCATTGTGGAGGTCATGATGGAAGAATAGTGAAGTGGGTGGCAAATGGCCAGATACCGGTCATAGGCCATGGCGGTAAGAAGGTAGCACTCACAAGATCCAAGAGCATGGAAGAAATATGTCTGGAAGAGGCAGCTTCTAACTGATATATGTTTGTTTCCAACTAAGAGATTGGCCAACATCTTTGGAATGGTGACTGCTGTATAAAAGATCTCTAAGAAGGACAGAGCGCTAATAAATATATACATTGGAGAATGGAGGCGTGAGTCTACCTTCACTAGAACGCATATAGTCACATTACCAGCTATAGTAAGAAGATAAACAATAAGAAGGCACACAAACAGCAGTGTACCATAATGATATAAAGTTGGGAATCCCATGATGGTGAACTCAGACACTGTGTTGTTACCCAAATAAAACATATCTGGACCTGGACCTTGTTAATAGAAAATAAAGCTTTGTAGAAGATGGTTGTTTTATCTGGGCCTTTGCAATAAAATTGTTACGATGGTAAGTGTCACAAACATTTTCAAGTTTAATTATGATGTGTCACGACTTGGAAGAGGTTGAGAACCACTGTTATAAAAACATAAAACAGTTAAGAATATGGACAGGGGTAAGCGTGACCACTTAAAAAAATAAAAATGAACACTGAATTACAAAGGTTGTGGAGACGGGAATGATAGGACACCAACCTGCATGGAGGAGCATGTGGAAATGTACACTTCCTTACTTCAGTTCTCTTTGAACCAATACTAATGGTGGCAACAGAAATCGAGAGTTAGAATTTCCTGAAACTTAAAGCAAAAATCAGAACAATTCTGCAACATTGTGCAAACAATGAGGAAGGTAAAGTTAAAGCAGAACAGGAGCCAAACCTTTTTTTCTTAGTTTTCGATAGAGTGGAGAGTTATTAGAACACCTGTTTTATTGCTGTCTGTGTTCCAGTTTTGTATACTCTTTATTTGTCCTGGAAACCATTATCACTAAGACTGAAAGTGAAAGAAAATCAAAAATTTTGGGCTGTCACCAGAACAGGAATAGATGGGAAGTCTTTCAAAGGGGATGCTGGTAACAGCCAGGGGTTGCCCTTACTTTCTTATCACTGTTTTGTATATTGGACATGAAGTGAAGGGAAATCTGCCCACAGTTTTGGCTGTAGTTTTTGATGGTTGTTAAAGGAGAACTATGAGATGAGTGATTTCCACTCACCTCATAGGGTAACGGGAGGACGCTAGTTTGTGTCCTCCCGTTACCCTAAGGAGAACTATGGGGAAAAACACTGACCCCATAGTTCTCCTTTAAGGGTGCAATGGGTTTTAATGGGTAGTTCCACTTTTGCAGTCAAGTTTGCCATGTGTCTTACCTTTTAGCTGTCTCACAGTAGAAAGCCTTTGGAGCTTCTTGATCTTTAATCCTTTGTTAGTACATACATTGTGTAAATCTAGTTTACAGCTGATAATAAGATCTGCAAGCACAGTACAGACGGGGCTAATGTTAACATTAACCTGTCCAGCTTTCCTTGCATTCCAGAAGAAAATTCAGTACAGGGAAAAACTTTTCTTTCACAATTGAGCGTGTATTGTGCAAGCAACTTGAACATCTCTGTCATCACGCTGATTTTTAGGGATCCTTTAAACCAGTCTTGTTTAGTGGATGTAAAAATTAAATAATAATAGTAAATGTATTCCTTATTAAATGGAGTTCATTGTTTGCTTCTTAATCACTGTGTGAGATTATTATTAATATTCTTCTTCTTCAAGGTTTAAATATCCTCAAACACATTGGGATTTTATTCCCAGTCTATTCACATCACTGCTAATTTAGGTGTTGTTAATAGGCAATTATATGAAAAGTAAACTTTTTTTATATTTAAAAAAAATTCCCAGTTGGTACTTTTCAATTCTATTATACCACTCTATTATAATATTAGTTTGTTAATACTTTAGATAAAGAAAATATGTGATATTATTGTCAATAGGAGACAACTACAGGTAAAATTCATAAATAAATTAAAGGGAATGTGTAGACTTTTGCAAAAAATTTTTATTACTGTATTTAGAACTAAAAAAACAACTTGAATGTATTTTATGTTCGCACGGATGGATGGTGGTGGGTCTACATAAAATAGTGTAGATCCAGACCAGTTCACAGTCAAACTGGAGTAGTAACCTTATCCAGTAATGGTCTCAAGTTAAAAATGTGGAGATAGTACAGGGTCAGCCAGGTACAATACCACATCATCAGCATAAGCCCCCATTAAAACACCTGAGTATTTTGTCATGTGTTTCCTGCCGTGAAACGCTCAACATGAACAATCACATTATTTACACTGGTGCCCATTCACACCTGAGTATTTTGTCATTTCTTTCCTGACGTACAACGCTCAACATGAAGAATCACATTATTTACACTGGTGCCCATTCACACCTGAGCATTTTGCTGCCTGTTGCTTGTAGCTTGAAGCTCAAAAAGTATTTCACAAGCTTCTTTTCAGGCAGAATTACAAATTTGTGGTGCCTAGGACTATAGTGGGAGAGCCAGAAAAACCCATGTAACATGCATTTTTTGTAACCAATTTTGTGCCTAACATCTTCTTCTCCTAGTAACTAGCTTTCCAAAGAAAGCTTCAAACTCACCTTATGATTAATGGGGGCTTAGGACTGACTTTTTCCTCTAGGTCAGCTACATTGAAACCTACATTTGGGGATGCTGGTGGAGTCTAATGGCTAGGGGTTCTGCCGCTATGGCATAGACCAATGGTGAAAAGGGACAGCTCACCCAGCGAGAAAAGGCAAAGGAGTCTAATATTCAACCATTAGTTGACACTCTAGAATTGTTAAAAAAAAAATGAAATCCAATTGAAAAAAGGGCGAAATCCAAATCTATGTTAAGAGGCTCAAAGATAAGACAATTCCACCAAATCAAAAGCTTTTGTGGCATCTAAGGAGACAATCAACCTTTACCCTTGTTGTCTTGGGAACATTGTATATTTTCATACAGTCTATGAAGATTAATAGCTGTACTTATGTTAGGCATAAAGCCAGTTTGGTAATGGAGGAGATCACTGATCCCCATCGTATAGATCTTAGCTAGGGTTTTCACATCTGTTGTCAGTAGAATCATATTGGTGTGGGTCTGACTAATCCAAATTGGGGTTCAAAATGATAAGGGCCTCTTGTATAGACTGGGGTAACATACCCAAACGCAGTGAATCATTATATACTTTCTGTAACTTAGGTGCCAAAATATCGATATACAACTTCCACTGGAAGTTTATCAAGTCCAGGGTCATTTTTGCTTGGAAGGGAGCATATGGCTGCTTTAATCTCATCTATAGAGATAGTGGAACTAACATATCCAGTTGCTCAATGTGGAGAAGTAGTTACTGGAGTTCTCTTGGTTTAAGCTATGAGGTGAAATGGTATGTACATTGGAGCTGAAAGGAGCTGTGGAAATAGATTATTAAGGCGTGGATAGCGGAACAAGATAGTCTCTGAGCAGGAGCTCCCAAATGTGTGACCTACTCTATTAGTTCCCAGACCACACCCCCAACTTTGTAAATAATTAATTTTACTCTTATATTGCCATCAAATCTTATGTTTTTACTATATTTGTTTAAGATTTTACAGCAACTTTCTCACAAAACACATTATTTCTAGGGGAAAAAAATAATTCCTTTAATCATTTTTAGTATGTTTTATAGTATTACGAAAAACATTTTAAAACATTTTATTATATGCTGCTTTTTTGTGAACAAGGTGGAAATTTTGTAAATAAGTTTTATTTTTTTCTTCTAAAAGGAGTTTTTAACAAAAAAACCTGAACAATTTAACAATTTTCAAAGTGTTAAAGTGTATGTCCAGGGATTACCCAAATGTACCCAAACGTAACTCTCCTCCTACAGAGTGTGCCCCAGCATTGTTTTTTATATTTTATTTTACCTTGTTAATGTAGTCAGAAACAAATTTTATTATTCCCTGTGACCTATTTAACAGGCTAGTACAATCCTTGCAGGGGGGTGGGGGGGCTGCTGGCAGCTCAGTTCTTATTAGTGTAGCACATCTCCCAAAAGCCCTTTCCCAACACTCAGTGTGTGGGTAGGTTCTTGGGAGTCAAAGCAACAGTATTGTTTTGCTGCAAAAGATCAATGTATGCATGTGGAGGGGTACAGAGGAGCAGGAATTGAAGGAGTTCTGAAGTGCAGCAGGCCCTACAGTGCTGGTTGGAAATTCAAAGCAGTAGAGGCACTGTGTTGTCAACCCAAACAGGAGTTAAATGCTCACTGGATTTTTTTCATCTCAGTATGTATGTTTCTATACTTTTAATGTTTTTAAAAGGAATAAAACCTTGGGAAATGTGGAAGTACTTCCGGAATGTACCGAATGTGTGATTTCTTTTGGCCAGGCATACACTTTAAAATCTCTGAAGCTCAGCTATTTAAACAGCTCTATGGGGAAGATTTACTAAAGGCAATAGGTTGTTCCCTTTGAAAGGAAAATTTCCATTAGCCTAGTAAATGTGGTGAAAATGCACCCCTTTTATGATTACCATTTAATTTGTGTCAGCAACAAACACTGTAAGACCAGCAGTTGGAAGGTAGTGTGTGAGGTCAGACCCGTACTTCAGGTGACCACTGACCCTTGATGCTCAAGATAATAGGTCAAGCTCAAAGTAATCAAAACTGAATAGGAGAACATATGTAAACCTTTCTTAATGTAAGCATGCACAGTTGTAATAATCTAAGACTGAAAATTGACATTTTTGGATAAGCCCAACAATAACTGATTCTCTTCAACATTCATATACAAGAAGTGTTTATTTGTAATCATTTCTATTCAGATTGATCCTAAATGTATTTTCATGTTAGAACTCTTGGTTCTGATCTCTTGGTTCAAAAAGCTATATATTATAGGGATGAATATAGGAGTGACCACTGACTAAAGTATTGAAACCACTATCCCCTCCTCCTAACCCAATCATCAGTGGTGTCAGTTGCAATGGAATCTTTCCCTGCTCCTTTGTGACGTATAGCTTCAGGGCAGGGAATGTGCATCTCCACAACTGATTGGGTCAGGAGGAGTGGGTGGCAGGTAAGGGAAAAAGAGGAAATAGCATAGGGACAAGGAGGGGAACTGAAGAGGAGAAATAGATGGGCAAAAGAAAGGGAAGGCAAATACAAGATAGAAGACAGCCAAAGGAAGTGGGATAGAAGTGGGGGAGGACTGAGTTGGGGGGGCTCCTTACCTGTGGGCCGATGCAAATAATATATGTCAAACCTCAATAAGAGCAGTCAGTGTGTCGTTTGTGACTAGCTTCCCGCTTCCATCCTTTATTGGGCCTATCTGCCCAGCTGCTGGGCATTATATAGCTATATTCTCCCTATTCTAACCTGTGATCACTGCATCTGGAAGAGGGAAGTCTTCCTGCATCAACCTCCTTTTTTGGCTCTCAGATGTTATGTGACCAAATGCAGAGAGCTGCAATGGAAGACAGTGGTGGCAGAATGCAAAACTGTGAAAGGTTGTGCTCATTTGTTAACATACTTCACTTATTAGGGTCTAATGATGTGGAGAACTGTAGGTTCCCCCAACTCATTGGGGGACATTGGTTAAATGTAGAAGAAAAGGACCACCAAAAAGAATCAATTAATTATATGGTTAGTTGTGCCTATTTGGAGAAACAGATCACAAACTGCTGGAAGAAGACAACCCCTGCATACGTTTTGGTAAGAACTGTTTCTTGTGATTGCAGGCAGCCAGTCAAGGAGAGTAGAATAGACATCCTTCATCCCCATCCTGGAGTAAAATTGTGCTGACAGACCTGAAGATATTTTTTTTTAAACAGTAGATGTGCTACTTTTATAGATATTTATTCTGTGTGAACTGTTAACACAGCTGGCATTTTATCTCGACTGTTAGGGATGATCTAAGGTTTGACAATGGCCACTTGGCACAAAAGGGTCATATATTGGAATTCTGTTTTTATTTCTTTTTAACTTTGGGAGTCTGTTATATGACTCTAACCAAAACTACAATAAAAAGTTTTGACTGTGGGTTATAATATATAGAAAATGTTGTTTTTTGTTGTATTTTCCATAAATATTGATCCTAAACAACTACATCTGCACTTTCCTTCTTTGACACATCCTGTTTTTAACAGCAAGTCTCACCTCCTGGTTTCGAAAACTGTATATTATAGGGTTTAATATAGGAGTGACCACTGAATAGAGTATCGACACTGCACGGTCAGAGTACAAAGAGTAGCTCTTGGTTAGTCGAATGTACATAAACACAGTACAGGTAAAAAACAGCAATACTACAGTCAGATGAGACGCGCAGGTGGAGAAAGCCTTCATTCGTCCAACAGATGTCTTTATTTTCATAATGTCGATGATGATCCTAATATAGGAGGTCATGACCAAACAAAAGGTAAAGAATACGGTGAAACAATTTGTTACAAATTCAGCAAGGATGTTGATGGAGGTGTCACCGCAAGCCAAGCTGATCAATGGTGAGATGTCACAAAAGATATGTTCCATTTTACTATTACAAAAAGAAAGTCTAGAAATCAGAATGACCTCAGTGAGTGGAAAAAGAAAGCCAAGAGTGAAACAGGAACCTATTAACTTAATGGTCATTGTGGAGGTCATGATAGAAGAATAGTGAAGTGGGTGGCAGATGGCCAGATACCGGTCATAGGCAATGGTGGTAAGAAGGTAGCACTCACAAGATCCAAAAACATGGAAGAAATATGTCTGGAAGAGACAGCCTCTAACCGATATACTTTTGTTTGCAACTAGGAGATTGGCCAACATCTTTGGAATGGTAACTGCTGTATAAAAGATCTCTAAGAAGGACAGAGCACTAATAAACATATACATCGGAGAATGGAGGCATGTATCTACCTTCACTAGAACGCATATAGTCACATTACCAGCTATAGTAAGAAGATAAAAAATAAGAAGGCACACAAACAAAAGTGTACCATAATGATACAAAGATGGAAATCCGATGATGGTGAACTCAGACACAGTGTTGTTACCCAAATAAAACATATCTGGACCTGCAGTGGAAAAAAAATTGTTAATAGAAAATAAAGCTTTGGGAAGCATGCTTGTTTTGTCTGGGCCCTTGCAATAAAATTATTATGATGGTAAGTGTCACAAACATTTTAAAGTTTAATTTTGGTGTGTCATGACTTGGGGAAAGTTGGGAACCTTTCACGTACTTGGTTGGAGACTGAATGTGTGAGGAGCAAGATAAAAACGGTAAAAAGGCGAGCGCACAACTGTTATGCAATGTGGCAAGAGGAATAGATCTGTTTAAAATAAATTTTAATACTAAACAATTCTGGAACAATTTTGAAGTAAAAACAAAAACAAAAGTTAAAACGAATTTTTGAAACGAATTATTAAAAATTAGTTGAAGAATGGGGTGGGCTAGCTTCTCGTTCAGGGGGAGGGTCCCTGCAGACACATGTAAAAAGGAGGGTGGAAAGAAGCGCTGCAACCCTGGGATATTGTGGGGATAGGTTCGAGGTTCAAGACCTCTTTGTCTTTGACCTCTTTGGCTTGACAAAGAGGTCTTGAACCTCGAAACACGTAGCCAAATTGCCCGATTGACATTCCCATCACCCAGCGAGATAGACCGCACTGGTTTCCAGCCCCGTGCCTGTCTCCAAAAACGATCTGTCACAACGACTGCTGACAGTTTTCTAAACCGCTATAGAGCGGCACTCTCGCTCCCGTTCAGCCGTCGGGTCTCAGCCTGGCCAGCTGACCTCCCACGGTATTGGACGGCACGAACACCCCCAGTGCAGAGCCTCTGTACAAACAAGGCTACAGGACGGCAAATTCTTGCGCTCCAGCCACAGGAGCCTCCTAGCTGTCACCATTATCTCTCCTCCACCATCAGGGGACCAAACCAGATACTTCCAAACTCATACCCCTCACCGGCAGGACATTACTACGTCCACCCAACAGTAAAGAATCACCAGTGAAAATTCATGCACTGCCTAATCGACGATTTGGCCCGTTTACCACATCCACCCCGATCGCCCCAAGACACTGCTGAGCGATCCATACAGCCTTTCTCCTGATTTGCAAGACCTCATCTGGTCCACCTAAACAGTGAGTTTTCAGTCCAGTATTGTTTTTAAAGTTTTTAAAGTTGTTACCTATCCCCACAATATCCCAGGGTTGCAGCGCTTCTTTCCACCCTCCTTTTTACATGTGTGAGGAGGCCTCCCTTGCACCTCGTGTCCCAAGGACTCAGGAGTTGGGGACAGAGTGGTGATAACACCATGCAAGCTGAAATCCAGGTGCTCCAGCAGAGCAGGGCACGATCCGTAATCCAGGTCAAATGAGCCAATGTCACACCAATCGGAAAGGCAAGGTACAAAGGGATGAGGCAGAGGCAAAGTCCAGTATCGATCCGAGGTCAGGGGCAGGCAGCAAACAAGAATGGTCAATGATAATAAATCCGGGTCAGAAGTCAGGCAATACAAAGCAAGGAATCACAGAGGAGCTGAAAGACAATCTAGCAATTTGGAGACAGGCAGGCTGAGCTTACATAGTGTGATCCATTAGCCCATTGTGTCAATTCCTGTGCGCCGTTTGGCACGCTTTTTCGTGGGCGGTCCGTGGTGCGCGCACGCATGCACAGAAGTGCCCGTTTTACAATGGTATGGAAAACGGGACTCCGCGCATGCTCAATAACAGATGGTCTCTGACAGTACCACTGATATAAAAACAACAACATAAAACCATTAAGAATATGGACAGGGGGAGGTTTGACCACATGATTTGATGAAAATAACAATGCACACTTAATTACAAGGCTAGGAGGGAGGGAACGAGAGGACACAACCTTGCATTGAAGAGCATGTGGATTACTTCAGTTCTGACTGACTCAGTTATAACTGAGAGTTATAATTTCCTGAAAATCAAAGCAAAAATCAGAAGATTTCTGCAACATGTTAACATTTTGGTGAAACACATTGGAGACAATGAGGAAGGTGAAGCTAAGGTTGCTATAACTGTTTTTTTTTGCATAGAGCAGAGAGGAATTAGAACACCTGTCCAGTTTTTATTGCTGTCTGTGTCCCCATTGCGAAGATTCACCCTCTCTGTTTGTCCTGGTGACTATTAATACCACTACCTTAAAGTTCTACTTTAAGGTAGTTTTTGGTGGTTGTTAAGGGTACAATGGACTTTAAAGGGTATTTCCATTTTCTTACCCTTTAGATGTCTCTATGGAGCAAGCCGTTGGAGCTTCTTTAATTCTCAATTTCAAAGTGACAGGAAACGTTGACTGTACTCATAGAAGTACTTAGGATATTCTGAGCTTCCCCTCATTAACATTCAATGCAAGTAGATTTTTAACCCTTTGTTAGGGTAGACAGTGTTCAAATTCAGTTTACAGCTGATAATGAGATCTGCCAGCACAGTACACAGTACAGGTGTTAATAATTTTAACAATAAACTGCCCAGCCCCCTTTGCATTCCAGAAGAAAATTCAGTACAGAGAAAAAGTTTTCTTTCAGAATTGAGCAGGAAATATGCAAGCAACTTTTTTTTGACGTTATGCTATGCGAATGATGTATAAGCCGAGGGGGGCACTTTTCACCCAAAAAAATGGGCTTATACTCGAGTATATACGGTAAGTGTTATCGCAATTAGGCACTTTAAATTGCTCCTCAGGGTTACAGGTGGATTGAATACCTGAACAACTCTGTAATTGCTCTGATTATCAGGGATCCTTTAAACCAGTCTTAATTCGTGGATGTAACCTTTTTTTTGAGACTCGTAGGTTAATAAAAATGATAATTTAAAAAATGTATTCCCCATTAAATGAAGTTCATTGTTTGCGTCTCAATGAGTGAGATTATTTCCATTCTATTATTCTTCAAGGTTTATATATCTTCAAACACATTGGGAGTTTAATCTCCAGTCTCTTGGCAGTACTGCTAACTGAAGTGTTGTTAATAGGCAATTATATCAAAAATAAACTTTTTTATGTTAATAAAAAAAAAAAAATAAGAGTTACTATTTTCCCAGTCGGTTACTTTTAAAATCTATTATATTAAAGGAGAACTATGACATGAATGATTTCCACTCACGTCATAGTTCTAAGCCGACCTGTGACAATGAGACTGTCACAGGTCGGCTCAGTAGATCGGGAGGTGAGGGAAAACATACCGGGTTCCCTCACCTCTTGATCCTGTCACGGCTCTCTGCCGTGACAGGGAGAGGGGCTGGATTCCCCTCTCCCTGCTCCGATCTGCCAGCGCTGACTGGCGGAACGGACGGGGGAGGGTACAGCTGGCTCTGCCTCTAGATAGGCAGAGCCAGCTGTCACTCACGCAGCTGGGCGGATCCCGTCATCTAAGTCGGGATCCGCTCCAGGTGCGGCGTCTCAGTATACCGTGAGCTGTAGCTCGCGGTATACTGATCTTAGGGTGACGGGAGGACGCTAGTTTATGTCCTCCCGTTACCCCAAGGAGAGGTTGTGTGTTTCCTGAAGTGCGATGCTCAACATAAGGAATTCCATTTCTTTCAGTGATGCCTATTCACACTTGATCTTTTTATCTTCTGTCTCTTGTAGCTTGAAGCTCAGAAAAGTATGTGAGCTTCTTTTCAGGCACAATTTTACATTGTTGGCCCCATTGACTTTAATGGGAGCATCTGAAAAATATGTGTAAAATGCATTTTTGAGCATTTTTGTGCCTAAGAACAGTTTTTTTCTCCTAGTAAAATGCTCAAAGAAATTCTTCTTGTAACGTAGGAACCTAAATATCAATAAACAACTTATAAAATTCAATTGGAAGTTCAACCAGTCCATGGGCCTTTTTCGTTTGGAAAGGAGCAAATTGCTGCTTTAATGTCATCTATAGAGATAGGGGTACTAGCATATCAAATTTCTCATTGGTAAGGTAGGTGGGAAGGTGTATTAATTATGTAAGCATTCATAGCCCATTGTGAGCATATTGCAAAGCTAGTATACATTGTTTGAAAGTAGTCTGCAAAAACCAAGCTGATATCAGAAGAAGCTGTAGTCCTCCCCACCTTCTGTGGGAACCACACCACCTGGACGTTGGACCTCCAGAGGTGATTTTTCTGGTCATCCATCGGATGCTGGAGAGAGGTAACTGCATCTTGGAGTTTGCACATGTCGGAGGTGAGCAGAGCCAAGTGTCTTCCATGTGGTTAAAAAAAGATTCAGCCTCTGACACATGATTACAGAGAGTTTGAAGGTCCTGTCCTGACTGTCCTAGCAGTAAATATCTTAACAATATCCATGTAGCAACCATGGGGGTTCTTGTCCACCTTGGGTGGTTGACACAGCCTCCACAGCAGTAGGCCCTGTCCAGGTCCTCGTGTCGGAATGTACCCAGGGGAGAAGTAGTCACTGGAGTTCTCTTGGCTTTAGCTATGAGGTGGCAGGGTATGCACAGGTTATCCTGCAGCCAAAAGGAGCTGTAGAAATGGATTGTTAAGATGCTGATAGCTGAGCAGGACAGTTTCTGTGTGGGAGCTCACAAACATGTGACCTAATCTGTAAGTGCCCAGACCACACCCCCCACACTTTGTGAATAATTACTGTTACTTTTTAATACCATCAAATCTTATGTTTTTACTATATTTTTCAAGAGTTTACAGCAACGTACTCACAAAACACATCATTTGTCCTACAAGCTATTGATGCATTCATTATTCAGAGTGTAAATTTTTAAAAAAATAAGAATCGCCGTGCCTTTCTAGGAAAAAAAATAATTCCTTTAATCATTTTTAGTATATTTTATAGGATTACTAAAAACATTTTAATACATTTTGTCATATGCTGTCTTTTTTGTGACCAACATAATCATTTTGTATATAAGTTTTATTTTTTTATTTTTAAAGATGTTTTTAGCAAAAAAAATGTGAACTATTTTTAAAATGGACAGAAATTCCCAATGGCGATAATCTTTTATATTAAAGAGTATGTCCAGGCATTACCTAAATTTACCCAAACCTCCTTCTCCTCCTACATAGTGTGTCCCAGCATTAGTTTTGTATATTACCTTGATAATGTAGTGAGAAATAGCTTTTACTATTTCCTGTGACTACATCACCAGGCTCACACCAGAACTACAGCTCCCAAAAGCACTTTTCCTACAGTCAGTATGCTGACAGGCTCTTGGGAGTCAAAGCGACAGTAATGTTTTGCTGCAAAGGAAATCATTGTATGCATGTGGAGGGGAACAGGGGGACGGGGATAGAATGAGTTCTGAAGTGCAGTAGGGCTTACAACTCTGGTTAAAAAAATCAGAGCAGCACAGGCACTGTATTGTCAACCCAAATAGGGTTTTGCCATTTATGGGCCTCCCAGACCGTCATTGGGGAGGACACGCTGCCCACATTTAAGGTAAAGTAAGATTTCAGGTCATCCGTAACGGAAGCTACTGTCCCTAAATCTGTCAGTAAGGAAGAATTGAGTCTCCATGTCCGGGATGTCGGGATGGGGGGCCCTAAGGTAAAGGAAGTCCACACCATCGCATGGTCCGAGGTAGCAATGGTACCTATGGACGAGCGAGTGATTGTTGGTAGGTCCCTCTGTGTGACAAAAATATAGTCAATGCGGGAGTACTTGGAATGTAAATTGAAGTAGAACGTGAAGTCCAGATCTTTTGGGTGAAGAGTTCTCCAAGTATCACAGAGGCTCAGTTCAGACAGTTTGGTCTTCAAGAATTTGAGCGTGCGATAGGGTAGGGAAGTCTTCCTGTCTGACGTATTTACCAGCGGGTTCAAGGCTACATTAAAGTCCCCTCCCAATATGATCATCCCTTCCGCTACTTCCAGCAGTTTCGCTATTAGAGTACCCATAAAACTGGCGTGATTCTTGTTCGGGAAGTAGGCACTGACCAAGGTGACAGGCCTCTTAGCTATAGCCCCTTCACAATCAAGAAGCGCCGTCCTCGTCTTTTATGACCCTCCCAGTGTCGAAGGGGATCGATCTGTGAATCAGAATCGGGACACCTCTCGATTTGTTAGACGGAGAGGTCGAGTGGTATGCCAGAGGATAGAGATGTGCACCCAGTTTAGGTATTTTATCATGCTTAAAATGGGTTTCCTGCAGGAGAGCTACCGAGGCGTGTTTTGCGGTCAAGTCCCCTAGAACCCTAGCTCGTTTGACCGGGGAATTTAGCCCTTTCACATTAAACGAGAGGACCACCATGTCCGACGGAGCGGCCATTACACAAAGATGTTCTAGTGCCTATGTATAGAACCGTAGGGCAGGCTAGCAATGTAGCGGGAGACCCGGGTAAGTCGTATGGGGTCTATAAGGGGATGAAACCTTTGCCTCGGAGCTCTAAAGCCAGAAGCAAGGCGTCCCACCTTGGGAACGTGGTCGAGCCTAAATCAAGTAAACTATCAGATCAACTGGACTCAAAAACCGATGCGTGAGACCCATCAAAGGTGTTACATTAACATCAACATATGTAGAGGCAGAAACCACCCAATATCACTCCCCACAACAAGGCGTCTCAAAAATCTCCAACCCAGTCTGCCTCCTCTCTTCCCCACCACCAGCGCCCCGGTGCCTCTCTAGCACTCCAAGGCTTTCTCTCTTCCTGCACCGGTCGTGGGGGAGAGACACAGCCACCCTCTGCCCCTGCATGCCCACACAACCTTACATAGAATGGAATGGGATCGTGATCCCCCAAAGCCCCATCAGAGCCGCTAACTGGGGAACTCAACTCCATATATCACCCTTCAGAGCAGTCCCATAATAAATCACAAGATAACAATATAGCATCGATGGTGTAGTTGGGGAATAGACTTTGCAGGTTACATAACAGTCTATAACTGTGCATATACATGAAATAGAACCGATCCTCCGATGCCATCTCTCTGGGATTAGGAAGGCAATTTAGCACGCTAGGAGAAGGTAGCTTGTGGTGTCATATAACAGTCAAGGGCAGCAGGCACAATGCGGGCAGAACATGTTCATACAGAAATCCTAGGGAACCTGGATTCGGGGTTAGCGGGTGTCACAGTGCAAATGAAACATGGAGAGTAACAGTCTCCATGGGGCGGAGGGGACAGCATCCACCGCCGCCATCCCCCGTGGGGCAAAAAATAAGCTCATCTAAGGAGTATGGGATTCGTTACCACTGGAATCCCTTCTGGCTCGCCTGGAGGATGTTGTTGCGCCCCGAGAGGTGCGTTGCGTATCCTGCCGTCTGGGTCCCGGGCCCCGGGGCGAGGTTGAAGCGCTGCGAGAGCGGGTGCGAGGGGAGCGATCCCTCCCGTGCTGGAGCTGTTCGCGGGCAGGTGGAGGGCGAAGATCTGCATACCAATCCGATATGGGCACCACGGGTAGGTCTAGTCGCATACAAAATTCTCCTACATCTGCTGGCAGACGGACCGTCGCGGTTGTCCCGCCATGTGTAGCGAACAAACAAAACGGGAACCTCCATCTATACTGGATTCCATGGTCACGTAGGCAATCCAGTAGTGGCTTGAGCGCTCGCCTCTGTTGTAGAGTGATCGCCGACAGGTCCTGCAATAGCTTTACATCGTTGCCATCATAGGAGAAGCTGCCCCTGGTTCGTGCTTTCATAAGTATTTCCTCCTTCAGGGGAAAACTTTGCAAGCAACAGATAATGTCCCGTGGCATGTCGTCTCGGGTGCTCCTAGGCCTCAGTGCTCTATGTGCTCTCACCAGCTCGATCGGGGATTCTGCTGGGCGTTCCAGCAGGTCATTGAAAATATGCAGCAGGGTCTGAGGGATTGCATCTGGCATCACTGTTTCAGGGAGGCCCCGGAGTCTGATGTTAGCTTTTTGGCCTCTATTATCAAGGTATATCGATCATATTGTGCACCGTACAATCTCGCTGGGAGCACAGCTGGTCGGGTGCGGAGTCCCGTCGGCGGCCTGCTCTCTCCACTTCATCAAGTCGGCGGCCAACATCTTAGATGTCTCTCCTGAGTTCCGAGACCATGGAGCAGAGAGCTAATTTAATGTCCAGTGCCATCGAGGTTAGTCCGTGTCGGGAGTAGCTGCCGGTATGCCGAGATGTGATCTGGAGTCGTCAGAGGCTCCGTGAGCACCGAGGCCGCGCTGCATACATCAGGGCCAGGGGTAGTCAGCGCCATATTGGAGCTCTTTGGGCCCGTAGCTTCCGATCGTTGTTTACGGAAAATCTCCGGCACCTGTCTGCTCGGGTGGAACTGGGAGCCTGCCGGGGTCTTGGTCGGTGGTTCGGGCTTTCCATACTTCACCATGGTGGCTGATATAGGGCTAAAGTAGCAGTGTATGGGTCTCACTCAGCCAGAGCTCTCAGATCAGGCAGCCATCAGCCTCAAGGTTCAGACCGAAAGTGCGACTTTCTGAGGTAAGGAAGCATTATAGCCCTCTTGGTCACAGCTTAAACTCACACATCCTTCACCACTGTGCCTAACCTATATAGAGGTTTTGCAAGGCCTATTATTTCCAGACCCTTTCAAGTGTAACTCCACTTTTGACATAAATGTAAATCAACCATATGACCAATTTTGTGGCTTTATTTGAACTCCTTGTAAAAGGAATAAAAAATGGTGTCACGCACCATGAATGATTTAATGAGAATAGAGGAACTACATGTCAAAGATAACAACCACAAAGAGATGTTTGTGTCCCCAAAGTGTATATGGATGATGTTCTCTATATCTCACACCTTGTCCTCTAACTTTACATGAAATCAACATGGGAATTAAATTATACATGCCTTTATGGTGAGACCTGGTCACATTCACTTGAGCTTCCTCTTTTTCCTACCGCTCCTTATTCCTATCATCTCTTCTCACCCTTTTCTCATTCACCACACTATCCTCCTTCTCTCTCTACCTTATTCCTACTCTTCACTTTAGATCCTTTGACTTAAATTAATGCCTCCTGGATTTTGGATTACCTCCTTTTCTACTTTTACCTTTCACACATAATTCTACCATGTGGCAGCACTCTACCTTAGCAACGAATGAGTGAATAGCACGGCATGGTACCTTTCTTTGAAGTATTTATCTTATTTTGAAAAGCACATACAAAATGATTATAGATTGTATACCTCCTTTATTATCATCCTCATACATAACCAAAACCTTTACCACATGGTAACACATAAAAATTACATTTTTGTTAGCTCAAGTTGCAAATCCTATTAAGAACTCATATGGAGAAATGTATGTTTATAGTCATTGTCAAACTGAAATTTGGAAGTGTGGAAAGAAAGCACTGGACCCATGTGGTTAGTCTCTTGGTGGGTCTCATCCAACAGTAGTTAAGTGATGTGAATTTGGGTGAGCTGGCTAACAGGGAGGCAGCTTCTGCAATTCAAAGGATCTCCACAGTATTCTTGGCTTGACAGAGGCTGTCAAACACGCTGCTGACAAGCCTGAAGTTTGCCCATCACAACACAATCCCAGATGAAGGAGGTGTGTTTTGGACACTCGAAATGCATTGGATACTCTACTTGAATGTTGTTGGAACTTCTTTCACAGCCTCACAGAGAAACACAAGCACACAGTCTGATATACATGCTGCTCATGGCTTGGAAACACAGGAAGGAAGCCACAGCTTTATTCTCTACCTTATTCAATACAACAGAGTGTACCATAGATACTGTACAACATAACTTATGAACACTGCCATCTAGTGACCGAAAGTGTACACTGCAGGAGTTATTGCTATACAATAATGTGTATTCTAACAAATGTCCCCTGACCCTAATAGAATAAAGTGGCATCTAGACTATTTTAATTGGTGTGGCACTTCCATTCCTACATCTACTCTGTTCATTGTTAAACTGAAGGCAGTGAGACTTGTCTTATAGCCTTGAGTTCAGAAGAGATGTCAAATTGTGATGAAGGTAACAATAAAGATTTTGAAAAAATATTTTTAAATTAGGTCGTTTTTGAGCTTCTTTGCCAGTTATATCCCTATTTATTGCAATGTATTAACTGCTCAGACATAATTCACATGGGATGGGCCAGGAAGCCTTGCAGTTTTTAGAAAGTGCATTATTATAGACATAGCTAATAAAGAGTGAAGGCACTTTTAGTGTACTTTCAGTAAACAGTATCAGACTTTTCTTTGGAAAGTAGTCGTAGTCAGTGACTTGTGGGGATTTTTTTCAACCTGACCATGTAACTACTGTACACCTTCAGTAAATCTATCTAATCTGGGATGGCACTACCCAACCTGACTGAAAGCCATGTTGTGTCAGCACTCCATCCTTTTTGAGGGGTGGGCATACATGATGGTACCGATAATGTATGAATCAGAATGCAACTTTGTTCTGGGCCTGTCCGTCTCAGATCTGCTCACCCAAAGTCAAGTGTATCTGCAACTTCTCAGAGCGGACATTGCACAGGCACTACCTGGCTTTCCATCAAGCAGGGCAGAGAGGGACTTCATGGCTAGGAAATATTTCCTGAAAGCATTTTTTGTTAAGTATAGCCCGATACTGTTTATCCCTTAAAAGTCCACTGAAATAAAACTTATACTATACAAAGATACAGTGGCGGAACTACCGCCGGTGCAGGCGGTGCGGGCGCCCGGGGCCTCAGGCTCTGGGGGGGCCCAGCAAGTTGCCGGCCGCCGGATCGCTA